TGTGTGTGTGTGTGTCTGTGCGTGTGTGTGTGTGTGCGTGTGTGTGTGCGTGTGTGCGTGTGTGCGTGTGTGCGTGTGTGTGTGTGTGTGTGTGTGTTCTAACCCTCCCAGCATCGAGCAGCTGCTGCCTTTCTTCAGGCAAATTAAGAGAAAATCGTATTGTGTTTTGTTTTGCTCTGACCACAGCGCATTATCCATTCCGCCTTTTATTGAAATTGATTTTTAAGGTGCCCTTCATCATTTAGCGAAGGCCTTTTTAAATCAGCCAATGCCAAAGCTTAATTGATTTTCTTGGTAGGACGGACGACATGGTTAAAAGCTTCGCTGCATTTGATTAGCCAACGTGCACATCAATGGCACATATCCACTCACTTAAAAAGTGCGCTCGCTGTCCAATCTGTGAATTCCAATACAAAAAGTTGGATCCAAGCATTTGGGCGGAATTAGTGAAAGTTTTGACTCATTTTACTTTTTTATGTAGATTCTTTAATTTATTCATTGTATTTTTACTTTGTTAGCATATGAACAAAAAAGTCATTTTGAACTCACTTTCAAGGCATGAATCAAAAATAAGAATGAGCTTGCTAACTGTGCCTTCTCTTTTTTCATGTCTGGGGGGCTTCTCGATCATCCTGGTCATGGTAATCCGGAATCGAGGCGACAAAATTCTTATCTGTTTTTTTTTTTTTCTCGTTATTTTGACAGGTTAAGAATGACTCGGTCGTTACGCTGTTCAATTCAAATGTACTTATTGACTGTAGGTCCACTTATTTGTTGGTAAATTCTTTTCCATTTTTTTATATACAGTATTTATTTTGATATAGAATAATGCTTTTGAAGAAACATATGATTGTTTTAAACATTTCCTTCAAAGTTCATGTTCAACTTCCTTGACACTAATTGCCACTTTCCTATTCGTATAGGCTTTCTCTTGTGGTCTCCTGGGGGTTTTACAGAAAAAAAAACCCCAACAATGTGCACATATTTTTTTTAGCAAATAGCTGACGATAGGGCCTACAAAAATCTGTGAATTTGTGAATATGATGCACGAATATGCGGAGGGGTTACGCTCTCAAAAACATTGCTGGCCATGACTTACGCCAGCCACAGGCTGAGCTGCACTGTGTTTGTTTACAGCACAGAAATACAAATCTGAACACACGTTCCCTTACAACCCTACTCACTAACTCTTGTCTTGGCTTTTGTTTGATCCTATCTTCCATTATCTCCATAAATGCTTCCTTTTACACCTCCCCCCGACCACCTGTCACTTCCTACCGCGACTCTCCTCCTCCCCATCCATTTTCCCGCCATTTGATGTAAGCGCGGAAAGGGAGCGTCAACCCGGCTCCTCACACCTGACAAAATGGGTCAGCTCAGCGAGGCGGTTATCAAGGCACCTCGCGAACAACGTCGACCGTGACAGACGGCCGCCTTTGATATCCCCGAGACGTCTCCCGCGCGGCGCGATTGCGATCGCAACGTGACCAGATAATCGGCAAACAAGACGCGGCGCGGGCCCGCGCGCGGGGATGCAACGTTGCGGTTAGCGTCCCGCTTTTCAGCTCACCGAAACCTTCCCCCCGCACCTTCCAACACTGGCTTGCTCTCCCTATTGTCGTTTCTGTTGTGTTTGGCTACTCGCCACGGTGGAACGCACTCGCCGGTCATCTCATTCAGAATTGTTAGCATCTTCGATCCATTTTCCTGCCATGAAATCGCAAGCAAGTGCCCCCCGATCCTATTTCGATAATAGGTAGACATATTCTCGTTGGCAAATATGAAATGAAGAAATAAGCAGCGTTCTTTTAAGAAAGGGCGACATCAACAGTGTGTCTCCTTTTTAGGAAATGAGCGTTCCAGACATGTGCAACATGAACTCCCTCCCGCTTCCAACCTGGTGGAAGGAGATCGCGCACACTCGGGGGGACAATTTCTTCGGGTCTCGTTCAATGGTTAATAAAAAAAAAAAAAGATTGCATGCCAAAGCAGCAGGGGGCGCTGTCGCATTTATACACGAAGGCTTTTGTAGCCAATCAGAAGCCAGGAGAAAGTAATTTAAGGAGCAATTGCATCAGCGGCGAAATAATCTAAAATATGATTTATGCGATGGTAAAAGATGGCGTCCCGATGCTACAATGTAGGATCATTTTAATATTATGTAATGTAATATATTGTCATATCTTACCTACCAGTTTGTTTTTTGTAATCATTTTGAAGTGAACGTACTCTAAGCACATTCACTTTGGAGATACGTTGTAAATTATTTTTATTTCAGTCGACTTGATCTTCAATTTATCGGGACAACGTCATTGATTTGTCATCCTTCAGAATCGTCCGACTCACCCAATGAGATGCCGTGTGCAAAAATTAGAAACGGTTCTTACTCGAGAATTTGCACCTTTAATTTCTTTTCAGCCCGCATGAATGACATGAGTGAATAATGACATGCGCTGGACCTTTTTGCTCAATAGCCTTCATGGCCGCAGTCCATTTTGTGCGTGCGTGCGTGCGCTTTGTGTGTGTGTGTTATATCACGTAATAGTAAGTACAGTGTGAGAGGAACAACCTGTGTCATGATGCAGCATGAAGGCGGGTAATGACTCCGGTATCGACTGTGAGAATCGGGCGCATCGGAGTGCACGGCGAAGGGATAATAGCGGCTTTGCTGAAGGTGTATCGCATTGATCAACTCGAAGCGGCGGGTCATTACATTTGCCCCCCCCCCCCCCAGGCACACGCCGAGGAACCATCACAAAACAGAGCGTGCGTTTTTGTGCGTGTCAACGTCGGCAAGCGCCGGTACATAAATAAATACGCTGATCCAGTGGTTGTACGCTTGGGGATCCGCCGGTCACCAGCGGGTCTGCGAGCTGCAGCTTGGGGGGGTCTGCAGAATTATGACGTGGTGCAGATGATTTGATTTGGGGGGGGTGGACTAAAAAAAAAAAAAAAAAAAGTCGCTGAATTTGTGCACAGTGAGCTGCAAACACGCGAGGGATTACTGTACTTTGTCTGAGCTGTATTTCACATCCTTCTTGTACTTGGCCCCCATTCCGCCGCCCCTCCCCATCTCCCCCCCCAATCAACAGAGGGCTGTCCCGGTCTGTGCAATGGCAACGGCAGGTGCACCCTGGGTAACGGCGGCTGGTACTGCGTATGCCAGCTGGGCTGGAGGGGCAGCGGCTGCGACACCTCCATGGAGACGGCCTGCGGCGACCTCAAGGACAATGACGGAGGTAAGATGTGCACAAACGCTCGCCATGAAGACAGCCCGGTGGCGCTGCGTGGACCACAAGGACGCCCTTATCATCCGAGACATCAATTAAACAGAAGTACCTTTTCAACCAAATTCAGTCGAATTGAATTTCACATTTGTCCATCATCAATAGCTGATGTGCACGACTTCCACTAACAACAGGGCTGCAAAGAGAAAGGAGTCAGTGTTGCCAATGTCGCGAATGTTTTTCTGTTTTGTTTTTTTTCTTCCACAAAGTAACTGCCGATTTGAATAGCAGCTCAGAAACAGGACTCGTTTTCGGATTGCTTTGTAGAATAATGCATTTGATCGATCACAGGTAAGGTGTTTTCTGAAGATGAGCCGTGATTGGTCGTGACCTGAGCCCTGAGCAATCGTGATGTCGTTTGATAAGATTGCGAGTAGCAACATGGCCGCCCTTCGAGATGGACAAAAACAGGGTGGATTTTGCCGCTTAACTCGTATTCCACCAATTATTCAGAATGCTGTAGGGCCGCATGGTTAACTTATTGTAAAAGTTTTTGACTTGACTTCACTTTTAAGCCCAATTCTGGCAGTTCCGTATTACAAAACATGAAAGAAGATTAGTTGCTGTTTGTTGTAAAAATAATGATTTCTTAACGCGGGATTGTGTTTTCCCCACTTTTTTTTTAAACTTTAATTGGGGTCATGTATTTTTAAAAACTGAATTGATTGGAAGCTAAAGAACATCTTCAAGCAGCAGTTCCAATAATTATGGAGGGCGGTGTATTTGCCTCCACAAATATTTGACCAAGGTCACTTTGCCTGACCTGTGCAACTCAACATAAGCCAGAATTACTGCGCTCGTGCAGAGAAATCAGTTTTATGTCATAACGCACAGTCATATCGCTGTTCATTATTGGCCCAAAGTTAAAGTAAGTAGGAGGAATGACTTTTTTTTTTTTTGGAGCCAGTCTCAATATATAGGGATGCTCTTTATTTGAAAGGATGCGGCGAACACTTCATTGCAAATGATTTTGCGTCCCAGCAAGTCACGACTCGTGCACCCCCGATTTGAGAAGCACGGCTTTAAGCGCCCCCGAACGCTGCCAGGCACACACTCGGCCGGGACGTGACTTCCTGCGCCGCCCAACTCATTGCGGGCGCCGGCTCTCCACAAGCGTCCTTTTATTAGGCAGACAGACGAGACTGACGGCGCCCTGTTTATTTTTCATCTCCCCACTGCCACAGATATCATTAAGGATCTTCAATACCACCTTTTTTTCAGACCGTCATTAGTGCAAGCGTTCATTCCTCGAGTACCGATTCTTCTCAGACTATTGACACATGATGATTCGCCGGCGTGTCAAATTGCCGCAGTGTAGCGCCGACGACTGCCACGGAGGACCTACTCAATGTCAGATTTTTTTTTTTTTTTTTGCCTTTTAGTATCAGTGGCTGGTATTGGCGGACTCCATGAGTATCCGATACCTTAAAATAAGGCTGGTATCGGTCTGACTGATACCTGGTACTCGCCCATCCTTTCTTTGATTCTACGAGGGAGTATATTTATTTACTGTTTTTGTGACCTTGACCATGTGTGACCTTGTCAGACGGCCTGGTGGACTGCATGGATCCGGACTGCTGTCTCCAGGCGACCTGCCACAGCACCTCGCTGTGCGTGGGCTCGCCGGACCCCCTGGACATCATCCAGGAGACGCAGGTGTCGTCGGGCAACCAGGGCAGGCTGCAGAGCTTCTACGAGCGCGTGCGCTTCCTGGTGGGCCGGGAGAGCACCCACGTGGTGCGCGGCGCCAGCCCCTTCGACGCCAAGTAAGTAGCCGTCGATGGTTTTCACATTTCAGGTTCGTTCACTGGACACTTCATTAGGAACACCATCATCTAAAAATCAAAAAGGTCTTTTATTTTATTTTTTTCTCTCATGAGATGCACACGTGTGAATTTCATGTAGCCTGAAAGCCGAACGTTAGCCTACGTTCCAGGCGTGTGATCTTTCAGACACACCGCTTGTAGTCATCTCAAAGCAATTACACACAACAAACAAACCATCCAATACATTCCAATCAGCGGATAATGAATCGGCCGGTAGACGTGTGGGCCTGCGACGACTAAATTCTGCGGAGATAACATTAGCAAGGAGCCCGCTTGTTGCTCGTTATTGCGTTCTCGGAGTTATTTAGCGCGTTATTGCTGAAGACAACCGCGCTATAAATAACTCCAGCAAAAGCAAGTGTCACAGGGGTGGTTTTTTGGGAAGGGGGGGGGGGGCAGAGGAGGAAGGCAGCTGGATGGAGTAATGGAGGGTGAAATGGGCAGCCGGCGGTGGTTGCGCGCCGCTTGACGGATGATGGACGGATGATGATGGACAAACACGGAACGAGAGGGTGTTTGGGGGGGGGAGCAACCTTGGAGCGACGTGAACGGCATCTCGTATTCATGTTTGTGATTACTTTTACTGTAATCTGTCTCAGGCTCGCCCCCAGAGGCGGGGTGCACCACTACGCTGCTTTCATATTCCGCAGGAAGGCTGTCAGAGTGCCCCTTCACCCAAAAATAAGTCAACAATATCACATTTTTTGACTTTGCTATTAGCATTTTTTTTTTTTTAAAAACGTGTCATGAAAACAAACACCGCTGTGTGTTGTTATTTTCTGACGGTAAAGGTCATGGCTTCAAACGTCACTATTTTTAGCTAAACTTTGTTCCGGAAGACAACTCATACGCGTATTTCAAAATCATTTTTCGCAGCACAGAGGTAACACGTTTTTTGTTTCTGGCACTCAAACAAATGTTTTTAATTGCCTTAAAAAAAATATGATTTGACCTAAATCTGTGGTGAATGAAATATTAATCTCTTAAATACGATTGGGGCTCATTTTGGGGAGTTCCTTTATTAGGTTTTCAACAAAGTACGAGGACACGAATTCTCTCGAAATGGCTGCTTTATACCATACCTGTCCACCAAATTTCACGTTGATGGCTGAAACTACTCTCTGGGGCTGATTTTCATTTTTTTTGTCCTCGAAATAGTTGTCAAATTTTTAATCTATGAAGACATTAAGCAGTATAGCCCAAAAATATATCCTAGTGTTTCCTTTATTCTCTTGTTTTAACGCTATTTTGCCACAGCACCAAGCTAGCAGACTCAAAGAATAAGCTACGTGGTTGTTTTAAGGACACAAAGTAGAATTCCCTTTGTTTTAGGTTTACTTTGACCATAAACATCAACTGGGCGTGCCAGTTCTTGAGTGATTGAGTGAAATTCAGGAGTTTGTGTTTGCAAGTTTTTTTAGCATTGGGCCAGAATTTTATTTTACTTTATTTCGTTATCCAACAGTTTCCAGTACCCAGTGGTTAAAAAGCACGCATTCGTGCTTCCATCAGAAACCTCGACGTTTCTTTGTATAGCCACGTGTGTACGAGAAACACAACGACACCAACCCCACCACCAGCCCCTTGACATTTTCTCCAGCTGTCAACAAGCACTCAGCATTTGGTCTCCGCCGGACGAGCGAGGAAGCAAAAGAAGAAGTAGCAGAAGCGGTGGCCATAAATAAGTAAAAAGTGGAGAATCCAGAGATGAGCTGCGAGAATGGAAGCTCACCTAAAAATATCAGTGACAATCTATTATTCATGCCTGGTGTTCGTTTCCCCTGCACCCCTGCTGACAGAAGTGAGCGGTTATGACAGTGCGTTCGGGGGCTTCAGATGGGCTCCGGGCACCTTTCCTGATGCGGCCGGTCAGCCGATCATCTTTCCATTGATCCCACCTAACCGCTTCCTCGTAGACATGTCGGAGCTCGCCGCCCTCTGATGTTTGCCACCGCAAGAAGCTGCAGAGGTGTCACCCAATAAAGTGGCTGCCACTGCATAAAAGCTCCTCACTCTCTTTCCGGTGTGACACGCGATACAAGGGAGCGCCGAGGCCCCCGGCGGCAGCAACCGTGAACTCCGGATGGAATAGTAAATAGGGACCCCCCTTTGCGAGGGAGTAGAACACTGCAAAAACTGAGCTGAGCAAACCGAGAATAAAAGAATGAAGTCAGGACCATTACCGTGTTTTATATATATATATAGCTCCACAGTATAAGTTGGACCACAAAAAAAATGCAAAATTTCCGAACGGACCAGGCACCAAACAATGACGGCGAATTTTTCACTCCTAACTACGTTTGAACGTTTTTCTTTTTAGTTTAAAATGACTTACCTGAACTAGAATCTTGTGTCAAATTTTGGCCAAAGGTGGAATCCTGGGAAGTTCTTGTACCTTTTGGTGCTGTAAATGTTTGTTGCGGTATAAGGAAGCCAAATGGTTGCCATGACTACCACTTCCTTTTCATTGACAAAGAAGTTCTTCTATGGTCTTTTATGAAGCACTCTAAAGTAGACTTGCGCTGAATCCCAGATCAAGACTTGCCCAAGACCAATGTGTGCCTTTTAGGGGCATGGCTTAGTGTGTGACATCAGGGCCTGGCAGTTGTTCCCTCCAGCAGCTCCTTGTGAGTGTTTTCATTTTGTATGTGTTCACAAATGGGCTAGAAGTGCATTGGCGGCTGTACCTCTCCTTGCCCACTTTTCAGTATGCAATGTAATCGCTCCATTTTTTTTTTCAAATTTCGGTTGGAAACCTAAAGCAAAATCACTAATATAGTTTATCGAATGCATCTTGAAATCAACCCAGACGGTTAAACTAGGCTAACAACCCCTTAAAGCCACATACAATATCAATGCACAACTACTAGTTTGTAAAACAATCTTTTTTTTTAATGTAATTCGGTGCTGTTTTCCTCAAATTAGAGACACATTATAGAAAATGGTGGTGTTTTGGGGCGGGGCCGGAACGGATTGAAGGCGTTTCAATGTGAAAAACGATTTGTTATCAGATTTAATGTGTATTTAAAACGATTTCGTTTTTTTTCAGTGAGCAGCGTCGTCAATGGCAGATACTGGATGGAATAGTAAAAAGGGACAGCCATTGGGAGAGATTGATACCCAGCAGAGCCGTTATTAGCGTCAGGCCATTACCGCCTCTTGTTGTGTTTCTTCTCCGCAGGCTCTAGTAAACGCTTTTTTTTCACCATTGTAATAAGTCGGTGTCGTGTTCATTGTACGCCGTGACGGCCCTCTTGAAATTGCTTCATTTCGTCATGGTTATTATTGTCAGGCCAAATAAATTGCCAATTTGGGGAGATTCCCATACTCAATTTATTTAATAAAATTAAATAAAATAAACAGCCCCCAAAGCCAGTTTAAGAAAATTTCATAGGAATCTCTGTCGTGAGAAGACCCACAAAAATGTCTCATGAACTGCCGGGCTGCGTCCTTCCTGTGTGGAGTTTGCATGGTTTTCCCGTGCCTGTGTGGGTTTTCTCTGGGTACTCCAGTTTCCTCCCACACTCCCAAGACAGGCATGGCATGTGAATGAAACATTCTAAATTAAAATAATAAAAAATAGTTGTTAGTGGTCTATGTGTGCCCCGTGATTGGCTTGCAACCCGTTCAGGGTGTCCCCCGCTTACTGCAGGAAGACAGCTGGGATAGGCTGCGGCACGCCCGCGACCCTCGTGAGGATAAGCCGCTTGGATAAGAGATGGACGCCTATCGCGATTAGATCCGCAAGGAAGTCCTAAAAACCCTTGCCAAAAAAAAAAAGCCAGTGGAAGTCATTCTTATATTTTGACGTGGCTATTTTTGAACATTTTCTGAGGTAACTCCTCCTGATAAGATTTGATTTTGACCAAACATTTCATTCAGCAACATCGTATTTGGTAGACTTGGCTATCGTGAGTGGGCACAAGAATTATTCTTCAAAGCCCGTGAGGCAAGACACAGGACGTGTGCCATTTTGATTTCAAGCGGCCATTTTAGGCTCATTTTGTCCATTTCCACCGTGTACTTCAATGATGAACTCATTCCATTCTCTTATCGATCCAGCTCCTGGATCAGTGGGCCCAAATTGCGGACTCTCTTGTTTACATTCTCCGTCCATGGGTGATCTGAGCCGTGCGGTTCACCCGGGAGATAATCTGCAAAAGGCCTTCTGCGACTTCAACCCGATCTCTTCACGCTCCCTCAGCGTCTCCTTCTCTGGGCTCTGTTTGATGTCAATATTGAAATCTTTTGTCTTGACGAGGAAGAGGAACGGTCTTTTGGTGGGGCGCGGGCGGGCCTGCAAGGCGATAGTTCCACTTTCACGCACCCGGAAAGACAACCCGCCACGATTGCCCTCTTCAAACAAAATAAACTGCCGCTGTGAATAATGATCGCATGACAACGCCGGGTTAACTCTGGCGGTAATTCTGTGCAAATACAGCTGCTTTGGACGTATTTGCGGCGCTATCTGCTCACTTGTTTACTGTGCGGCGGTTGGACAGCCAAGGTCTGCTGAAGGAGAGCCAGTCTAATTAACATAGAGGCAGGTTCCTGGGGAACGGCAAAGTAGCAAGTGAATGATCTTGCCTCTAGTAAGGACATGTTGAGGGCGGCCGCTAACACGCCGCTCTTAATTGTTTCCGCTTTGTGGCAATATTTAAGACCCAAACCTTTCTTAAAAATAGCCTTATGTCCAGGGAATGTTTTTGTTTTGGGCCAAGAACGATGGCTGACCAACGAGCAGGTATTCCCGTGCTGCGCCAGGTCAGAATTGATCAAGGAAGACGTGATATTTGGATGACTGCCCGCTCGAGGTGGCAAATACACTCGCACTCTGTACTACGAGTCAAAAACAGCTTTAAAGCCGCTGGCAAGATGACTCGCTAATGAGGGATTTATTTATTTATTTATTTTTCCGCCAGCGGTGGATATTCCAAATAGTTTCAGCAAAGCAACCGAAACCCAAGCTCCTACGACGAGGCCGGTTCAACATTCTCAACTGCAGTTGACTTTTTCGCTATTTACGTCTTACGTAAAAAGTAACAAGCTTACTCGAACAATGGAGTACTTATTTGTACTTTGTTACTCTGGCCCACTGCTGGCCGCCAATCGATGGTTGGATCGCGTTCGGCGTGTCCAGGTGGAGGCTGGAGGCTCCCGAGTCTTGATAAGCAGCCAAGCAAGTCTGGCAATCTGCTCTCTTTATTGTTTCCGTCGCAATGAGAAAGATAAGTCTCGCTTTTTTTTAATTAGAACAAAAAAGCAAACGAAAGCTTTCTTATCTCATTATCGCTTCAGCTCAGGGAAGAAAAGAAAAAAAGCCCTCCGAGACATGGATGGAGGTGTTTGGGGTTTTTTTGTTGTTGTGCTTGATTGCTTTATTTTGTACAGTGTTTTCTTTTCATAAGCTTACCGTGAGTCGTTCTACTTGTTTCTTGCTGCAAAGAAAGATTTCACACATATCCAGCATCAACGCTGGAATGGAAAACATTTGTTTTGTTTTTTTTCGTTTTGTTTTTTGTCTTCCATACATAACACAACAAAAGCCAGATACTGTTTCATATGGCAGTACGGGCCCGAAGTCAGATCAGCAAGGCTTCTGGTATTTGAAATACTTGTCGTACAGGCACAGCCGCTTTCAACACAGCTGTGTTTCTGCCGTTTATACGGAACAGCGCCACGTGGGAAAAAAAAGCGGGGAATTCTTCGGTTTTTTTGTTACAACAAAAGCAATGCAAACAAAACAGAGATCCTGTAAAATTGCCAAAACCGCTGGAACAAATTCACTTTTTAGTGAATATTCCCCAACATGCTACAAGATGGCGCCAAAGCGCAGGCTAACAAGAAAGTAATCCTGTATTTTTCGAACTGGAAGCGTCACTTTTTTTCATTGTTTGGCTGGTCTGGCGAGCTTGGACTTGAAGCCAAAATCCCCGTTCCCTAATCATATTGAAGGCAGTGAACAATTTCCATTTGGATTCGAAAGTGGTTTTTCGTTTAAAATTGCCGACCTTAACGCCGCATTGTGGCCAAAGGTCATTGCACCTTTTCGTGCACCAAGTGGCTGACGCCGCATGCTGAATTAGCGAGCTGGATCCCTTCTTTTGTGGCGGCCAACTAACAACATACATCACACGTTATTTGTCATGAATACTTTTTTTCCTTCCATTTCTTCTCCTACTTTTTTTTGACGATTGGCAATTTGGTGCATGAGCACCACCTTCTTGATTCAGCATGCGGCATCCACCACAACAAGAATTGACTATTTACAGCACAACGTGGTGCAATAACAAACTGGGTTTCGACCTTTGGCTACAATGCAACGTGGGATCCTTGTCAAGGTAAGCTATTTTAAACTAAAAAGAAAAAAAAAACACATTTCCAGAGTCAGAAGGGGAAGTTTCAAATCCGGAACTCATTCGTACACGATTAGGGAATGCGGAAGTCCAAGTTCTACTCTTCTTGATCTTGATTTGGGTTTTTTTTTTTTCACCTCAGTCAGCTGGCCACGGTGAAGCCTTGACTAGCGTAGCAAGATTTTGAAACAGACATCCATGCATTTATCACATCTCGAGAATACACTTCACTTTGGAGTCAGCCAGTCCTCCCTCAAACGTCTCCAGTCGGTTCAAAAAGCCATTGCTCACCTCTTTAACTGGAGCATGTTAGAGGGAGCACCAAACTCCCATTCTGGCCTCCCTCCACCATCAGGCGGCCTGTGCGCTTTAGAGTACATTTTATGATTCTGCTGCTGCGGTTGGGGCATTAAGAATACGGCGAAGTTCATCTTTCTGAAAAAGTGCTTCTTTTCCTGGTACCACGGGGGGAAGAAAAAAAAAAGCTGTTAATTTGTTTGCCTGAGCTGGAAAGACGTTGATTCATCCCCGTGGTGGTCTTTTGGCTTGGTAGTGATGCATTATCCAACAATCAACTCATCTTTGCCGTGCCCCAGTTTAATTCAACACACTTGTCCTCGTTTACGGAGCGCCGAATTATTCTTTGGCATCATTAAGCATGAGGTACAATTTGTCGTCCCCGTAGTGACCTCGCCGCTCTTTTTCCATTTCCGCGCAGGCACGCGTGCGTCATCCGCGGACAAGTGGTGACCTCGGACGGAACGCCGCTGGTGGGCGTCAACATCAGCTTCATCAACAAGCCGGCGTTCGGCTACACCGTCACCAGACAGGATGGAAGGTAAGAGCCCCCCCACACCCCCCCCCCACCCCCCCACCCCCGCCTCAAGTCAAACACGTCTGTGTTCTCGAGATGCTCGAGCGCCGCCATTGATCTGCCTCACGCTTTCCAATTTTGGGAGCGCCGGGCGCAATTCCCAGAGACATCAAACAAAGCCCTTCTGGTGCAAGCTCGTAAGTTACGCTTCAGTTGCAGCAGGCGAGGAAAAGGGAATCAAAATATGCCAATTCAAAGCCAGCAAGTTTGGACCGCACGGCGCAGATGGACGTTGTTTATTCGCCAGCGCTGCTTTTGGGTGGCTTTAAGGGAGAGATTTCATTTGAGGCGGCAGCGCGCATGCATTTGATATGCGCTTTAACGTACAATTTCCTCACTTTGGTTCCGCACGTTAGCTCTCGTCTATTAAAGGACTAGTAATCCTAATCTGACTGCTAAGATTATGGCGTCGTCCGTCAACGAGTGTTTTGTTCAACGAGCAGTGGGATTACACGGAAACCACCAGGCTGACATTCACACTAGATTAATCTGCATGTGGATTTAATCAGACGATATCGGCTCTTAAAATTGTCAAAGATCTGCAAGAGGGGAAAAAAATGGTCCAATTGTTTTTTTGTTTTTTTTTTTACTTGGCTTCTTTTTTTAAGTTTTTGCATACATTAACATGTAAGACAAAGAAAATGGCATTCTAAATGCCCCTCTCCCTTCCCCCATGTTGTAAAGTTAAACAAATGCCAGAGGACAAAGTTTTATTAAACAGGAAATTTGGCTAAAATGTTTTTTTTTCTGAATCATCAAGTAATCGAAAAAAAAAAGAAAAATCAGCAGGTTAATCTATTATTAAAACACCCCCCTGGCCTCTCGCACACACAAAAAAATGCTATGTGAAATGATGTTCTGTTGGCATCTTGACATGTAAATCATTCCGGCTTTTATGGGGGATTTACACGCACCCGCGCGGAGACATTTTACGGATTTTTGCGACTAAATGTTGACGTTGCGAGTGAATCGATGTGAAGGAACTCCAGCGGTGATTGTTTTTGGGGGCATTCCAGGTCGCAAACAGAGGTCCATTAAAGTGCACACTTGCATTAGTTTGCTGTCAACCAACGGACGGGACGGGCCCCTCATTTTGTGGCTGAGAAGAGTGACGGACGGCTGTTGTGTCCCGAAACGTGCTCCACTTCCTGCTGACATTTTTATCACTTGCCGGGGATTCGGCAGAAAGCGTCCGCTCTTGATCCTTCTCGGCGGCCTTTCATCGACATCCCTCATCATCAACTCTCCTCTAATCTGCTTTGGCCTTGGAATTCTTTTCCTCTCAGACCTCGTCTTTGCTTTCTGTGACGCCGCCTTCCTTCATCTCGTTTCCCCCCTTGGGTGCGTTTTTCCTTACTCCATTTGTGCCCCCCCCCCCCCACACACACCCCCAAAATTGTATGCGCTTCTCTCGGAGGCATCTTAAGTGTAAAGACTCCTCAATCTCCCTGCTTTTCCTTCCTGTAAACATGCCCCTGCGTTTCCGCAGGCAACCCACCACCACCACGAGCATTCCCTACTGCAATCCCTGTAAACAGGCTCAGTGCAGCGTGAAATCAGAAATGCACCTGTTCAGCCACTTAGAAATGGGGAAGCTGTCGAGACTCATTTCAATCATGTGTTCTTTATTGTCCGGGCCCGAAAAGTTTTCCGTCGTCAAAAGAAAAGTTCTTTTGTGGGGCGGTTTCTTTGTTTAGGTGCCGCATACATTCAAGAAATGCTAATTAATGATTATAATTATAAACCCAGCAGGGCTCTGAGGTCTACAGACTCGGGTGACCGAGTGGAGCCCAGAGCGCAAAGCAAACACGGTGAAGTAGCATTCGGCTGTTACGCTGCACGCGAACGGAACGAGCTGCCAACAGAAGCCAAGTCAGCCCCGAGTGTGAATGTTTTTAAATCCAGGTTAAAAGCGCGGCTTTTTTTTTTTCCTCATGTTTAGGAATGAGATCTTAAAAAGCAATTTGAAAGTAACCTTGAACAAATCTTTTTCTTGCACTGTACGTTTTGGGCACACCCTCAAAGACTGCGGCTCGATCAAATCCCTCGCGTGTCTTTGAGGCCGTTGTCATGTTTGATCGCGCCCAGCGAAACCTTCGCATCCATGGCCGCCCATCGCGACCTGCCCAAAAGTGTTTGTCAACCCCCC